GGGGATGCGGTGCTGCGAAGGGCCGGAGGCGGTCCGGCCGCCAGCGGGGAGGGAGGCTGCGGGCGGCCCTGCCCTGCTTCGCCTCGGGGCTGGGTGGGCATTTGGGCCTCGGCACACGGGTCACCGCGTCCCAGCGCTGGTCTGAAGAGCAAGTTCCAGTCCAAATACCGGGTGGCGGTTGTGAGGAGAAGTGGCCCTTAAGTAGGAAGTATCTTCCGAGTGTATTTGGTGGAAGAACAGTCAGCCCTGGCCATCGTTGTGAAAGCGCTGACCTTTTTCTTAGCTGAATCTAAAGAGCTCAGTGTGAGCTACTGGAGAAACAGTTAGGGTATTATGTGGTTTCACAGATGTACTTTATGCAGATCCGTGGGTTTGAAGCTGAAAAGTTTGGTAGGAGCACATCTGTCAAAACATACTCTAATGCTTTAGGATCTGTTCATTTTCATACATGAACAAAGAAGAGTTTATTGAACCTGTTCCCCTCTCCAGCAGAGCACAACAAAAAGCTAGTGTCATGCTGATGAAAGAGGGGTACAGGTATAATCACTACTTTCAGACCACTGGGATATGTTTCATTCCAGTTTTCCTCTCTGTCTTCTGGTTAAAAGTGTACGACAGTCTTACCTTCCATGCTTTGTTTGCTTTTAGCGGTCAGACAGAATGGCTCCAGTGAACCAGCCAAAGGACAAGAAGCATGAGAGAGCACATGAGCAGTGGCCGGAAGAGGCCAAATCAGCTGGGAAGAGGAAAGCGGACTACAAGGAACTAGGGAGTGAGCCACAAGCAAAGAGGTTGTTTGTGAGAAAAACATCCAAACCCCCTGAGAAAATCGGTAACATTTCCTCAGATCTTTACTGTTTCTCCCAACCAGATTTCCCCTCAATGACAGGCATCGACTAGTTGAAGAGGGAGAATGCCAAGAAGCGTGTTCAGACATGAGCGTTCAGATGGAGTTATATATTGAAGTGATTAACAGACATGTATTGGGGTAGTACATCCTCCAGTTATCTGTCTAGTGAGCATGTGTGTGCATGCATGCATGTGTGTCTGATCTTTGAGACTCTACCCCTTGGTAGAAGCTGCTCAGTGAAGGTGCTGTCACAGCTCGTTTGAGGGTGGTTAAGTTTTAGGGAATTCATGAATTACCAGGCATCTGCTTTACTGTAGGACAGACCAATCTTGGTAATATATTGGTTTTTCTCCCATGCAATTCTTAATGCAGTTTCATACTTGTAAGGTTGGTAGCCTACAGCATGCAGTCTAAACTGGCATTTCCATCCGATTCTTTGCTACGGTAAGTGGGAATACTCTGTGTTCAGAGTAGACTGGACAGAATTTCCACTAATCGCTTCTCATGTGCAATTTTTTTTCCTTTATTATGTAACTTAAAAAAAAAATCTTTGGTATAATGAGGAAAGGTGATTAAGTTCTAAGATACTGGAAAGGTTAATGCTTTGGATTATCAAGAAAGTTGTGTAGGCTTCAGCTACAGTAAGAACTGTTTTCATAGAATCATTTATCTTGGAAAAGACCCTTAAAATCAAGTCCAACTGTTAACCTAACACTGCCAACTCCACCACTAAACCATGTCCCTGAACACCACATCTACATGTGCTTTAAATACCTCCAGGGATGGTGACTCAACCTGTTCCCTGGGCAGCCTTTTCCAGTACTTGACAACCTTTTAGGTGAAGAAGTTTTTCCTCATATCCAATCTAAACCTGCCCTGGAACAACTTGAGGCCATTTCCTCTCATCCTATCCCTTGTTATTTGGGAGAAGAGACTGACAACCACCTCGCTACACCCTCCTTTCAGGTAGTTGTAGAGGGCGAGAAGGTCTCCCTTCAGCCTTCTTTTCTCAGATAGAACCTTTATTTCCATCATTTGTTTAGGAGATCACTAGAGTTACTGCCTTGTGTGGAAATAATAAACACTTTCTCTACAATTTTGGTTTTAAGGATCCAGAAATTACTGAAGTGTTCTTCAACAGCCAGACATACAGGACTTTATGATTTTGTGTGTTTCCATTGTCTGGTGTGTAACTCCAAACTCGGAGCAGTTGGCAGTGTGAACAGTGGCTGCGGAGGCAAAATACTCTGTTTGAAAGGAGTTCTGTGTGGATAATTGTGGATAGTTGAAGCATCTCCTGTGGTTAATTTAGCTACATGACTGTCATTGTCACTTCATGGCCTGATTTCCAGATTTGGTGAGCATCTGCAGCTCCTGTAAGATTCAGAGGGAATTGGATATAGCTAATACTCTGGAAAAATAAGGCAAATCATATTTTTCTTTTAAACCTATTTAAAAATGATGAACACCTTTGTATCTGAGCTTTTCCATTCTGTGTTCCAGTTTTGATTTTTGTGTGTTTTGGAAAATTTTTTTTATTTTTCCTGAGCCATATAGGGCAGGTTCAGTTTCATGCAATTGAAACACCTTTTTGAAAGATTTCTTCCAGCAGATTCTAAAAAGGCCTAAAGTTTGTTTCTTAATAAATTATACTTTGTAATAAAACAGAATTGGAAAAAATACCTCCGTTTCCATCACCTCTGAAGAAGGAACTGTGGATACTAGTTCTGTGAAAAAAAGGAATTGGAATACAAATACTTTTATACCTATTTCAACAACCATGACAAGTGTTGGCACTACGTTGGCATGTGAACAAAGAAGTTTCACACCTCTGCATTTCTAGGCTCCAGCGTTGCATTAAAGAAAGATTTTGTGTAGATGCTAATCATACAGAATTATCCCTAATTTTTTTGTCATTGTTTTTTGTTTTTGGGGGTTTTTTTTAAAGAAATATCCTTAAATGCAAGTAGCATTTTTGTTCTGTAAGAAATGCTTCTTTCCTATTTGATGTCCAGATCCCCTGGGGTGTTACAGGCCATTGCCATGGGGATGATTAGATCACAGACATGGGACTGAACAGATCCAGTTTTTACGTAAAGGTCCCTGAAGATAAAAACTTGGAACATGAACAAAATGTAGAAGCATGCTGTACTCTCAGCAAAAATCACTCCCAACAGAAAGGTTTTCAGGCGATGAGGCGTCAGCAAGTCTATTATCCAAAACAAAACTCAGACCGTACGGGCTGCAGCACGAGCAGATGGAAAGTTCTGATTCACAAGCAGGCATTTCAGGAACCGTGTGGGAACTCATGGTGCTACCCCTGGGGAACGTTCAGGTGTTAACGTTTTTGCTGGTCACGCATCTGACCTTCCCTTTGCTGTACCCAGGGCTTTACCACCTCCCGTGACCTGTTTCCAGGTTGTTGGAGCTTTGGGTAGCTTTGTTGTATTTTGAGTATGAACCATTCAAATTGTATACTGTCCAAGAGGTGCATCACCTGTGGCATTGCTTTAGTCCCCTCCTGTTGTCTTTTTGATCAATCTTTGGCAAGGAGAAGGAAGGTTTAACAAGAGGAAGCATACACAAAGCTCTGGCAGGGTATGGGAAGCACTGGACTCCAAAATTGCAGAGGCTGCTGCACCTTGGACATGTAAGAATCATTTAGAGACTTTTTATCTTGTGGCTGAAGCTTTTCATGGATGTAACAGCAAATGCAGATGTGTTCCCGTGTTACTTAGTGAATGAACACGGCACGTGTTGGCTTGCAGTAAGTTGTACTCTTCTTCTGTCCGGCAGGTTGGAACGGAGGTGGGTCCGTGGTGAGAAGCAACAGAGTCCTGTTCCATCAGCTGGAGCGGCAGTGCAGCATTGTTCATTACGTCTACCAGAACATGCTGGGAGGCTCCATTCGGGCACAGCTCAGGCAGGTGAGGAGTTTCTCCTTCATGACCTGTTGGGCATCTCAGCTCCTGACATCAAAGCATCTTCAACACAAGCAGGGAAGCTTTAAAGGGGCTTAAAGTTCCTCACATACACTGTTTGTGGTTGCAGATCTGGCACACTGGTATGTTTCTTAATCCTGTAAAACGCAGAGCTGAGATGACTTTCCCTTTCTGTTGTCTCAGCTCTGTCACTCTACATTTTATCCTCTGTTAATTCTGTGCTTCCTTGAATCGTATTTAAACTCGCCCACAGTGCTGCTTTTGCACGCTGATCTGACTGTTTTGTTGTACTATTTTTGCATCCACTCTACTTTGCTAATCATGTCAGGTTTAGTGTTGATTTTTCCTCTTCACAGACATACTCCATTAAGTCCTTGATTTTTTTACTGTTTTTTTCAGAGCCATACTCATTCTTTCAATTGAAAATTAACTTTTTCTTTAGCATCCATAGGTGAGAAGCACCTGGGCTAACTTTACCTATTTTAAGTATCAAAATTATAAAGAAATCACCAAGCTCATCCAAACAGTACCTGTTCCTCATCTGAATAACTATTGTTACAGTCGTGTCATGGTTTCTTATTCCCTGCTCAAGTGTTCTGTTCACTCTCATGCTGTATAGTTGAGCTGCAAGCAGTTTGGATGGAGAACCATAATATTGTGTCTCTGGATGATGTGCAACATTTTGGGATGCTCAGTAAAGACATAAATAGTCATAAGTGCCTTCTGCTGGTGCAGAGGCATGTTCTTCTCCTTTGTTAATTATCCTGCCTCTTTAGCTCAGCCCACGAGGCTTAGCTCCCTGTAGATCATTTGAAGTGTGGTGTCTCTCAGTTCTCTGTTGCTTTCTGAGTGCTGTGGCTGATGTGGATTTGTGTGGTTCCCCTGGGGACAGCATGTTCTCTTCATTCTACAGAGAGGCTTAGAATTTTGTGTGGATGTACTAACACTGATGGCAGTTAGAAATTGTTAGCACTCCTCATTCAGAGAATCTCAGGGATCTCTGCAAAGTCATAGAATCACAGAATGGTTTGTTTTGGAAGGGACCTTAAAGATCATCCAGTTCCAACCCCCCTGCCATCAGCAGGGACACCTTCCACTAGACCAGGTTGCTCAAAGCCTCATCCAGCCTGGCCTTGAACACTTCCAGGGAGGAGCAGCCACAGCTTCTCTGGGCAACCTGGGCCAGTGTCTGACCACCCTCACAGCAAAGAATTTTTTTCTCATATCTCATCTAAACCTCCCCTCTTCCAGTTTAAAGCCATCACCCCTTGTTCTGTCACTCCCTGCCCTTGTAAAAAGTTCCTCCCCAGCTTCCTGTAGCCCCTTCAGGTACTGGAAGGCCGCTATAAGATCTCCCCGGAGCCTTCTCTTCTCCAGGCTGAACAGCCCCAACTCTCTCAGCCTGTCCTCACAGCAGAGCTGCTCCAGCCCTCTGATCATCCTCATGGCCCCCTCTGGACTTGTTCTAACTGGTCCATGTCTTTGAGATAACTATTTTGTCCTAATTCTGTTTATCTTTTGAACAGTGTCTGCAGCTGCCCTTTCTGCGTTCTCTTGCCTCGTACCGCCTCTTTCGAACAGCAAGTCCCTTTGACAGGAGAGTGACATGCCTGGAATGGCATCCAACACACCCCAGCACTGTCGCTGTTGGTTCCAAAGGTGGAGACATCATCCTTTGGGACTATGAAGTACTTACTAAAACCTGCTTCATAAAAGGGGTAAGCCTCTGGGTATGTGGAATGAGTGGGAGGGGAAACTGAAATACCACCAAATACTGCAGATCAAAACTGAGGTCTGTTGTGAGAAGCACATAAGGGTATTGCATTGCAGAGTAGCCAGCTGTGGGGCAGGACTGAGATGTAACAGCACGTCTGTCTGTCTGTTCCTAAGCCCCAGAATGTTCTGGAGCTGGGGAGAACTGAGGTGTTTTGATTAAGTTCATAATGAAGCAGTACTTGGTGTGTGCTGAGTGGAAAAATAATACAGCAACTGGCAGAACGGTTATCGCAAAGGATGCCAGAAAGAAGTAGGCAGAGAGGGTCTGTCTGGTTTAGGTCTTGGTCTTTCTCTGCTTACCTTTGATTCTGTGTCAGATGAGGAAACATCTTTGAGTGGGGAGAAACAAAGTCCCATTATCTACAGTGAGAAGCTAAGGCAGGATGAATGGTTTATACAGCTGGCACGTCCCCTCGTCGCTGTACTCAGCCATTCTTGTTCTGACAGAGGCTCCAAGACTCTGTAACTTTTGTCCCCTTTCTAAATTAACACAGGTATATGCTGGGAGGACATTTATCCTCCAGAAATTCCAGAGTCATCTTTATTTTTTTTTGTAAATAGTGTAGTGCCAGCCAGGCAGGGAATACATTGCCTGGGGACTGAAGGAGTTGCAGTTTGTCCTCCAGGAGGGCAGCTGCCCTAGACAGCCACCGTGTGGGCAGACATGGTTGTCTTTGCTTCCTTGAAGGGCTGTGGTGTGTTTCACTGTTGCTGTTAAGGACATAGCAGTGAATGCAGATTTACAGAACACACTTTTCTCCTTCCCCTTCACTCAGTGGATTTTTCTTTTGTTCATCCCCTTCCTTGTAGATGGGAGCTGGAGGGGCCATCACAGGAATGAAGTTTAACCCTTTTAACCCTAGTCAGCTGTACACTTCGTCAGTTGCCGGCGCTACCACCCTGCAGGATTTTAATGGCAATACTGTCCGGGTCTTCACCAGCACCGAGGACTGGGAGTAAGAAACACAGCAATGCTTTGGGCCTCTGTGTCCTGTTGGCAGGAGCGCTACAGGGAGAGAGAGAGAGAGAGAGAGAGAGAGATGTTTAATATGTGGGAGCTGAGCTTCCTCTTCTCCACACACATGTCCGTTATCCTCTGAATTTCAGGGATCCTCTCTCTTCCAATAAAAATCCCTTTTTATTTTTCCCTGAAATGGGGTGGTGGGTAGGAAAGAGCTTTTCTTCATGAAGGGGAGGGACTCTCTGATGCTGCTTACATCCTGTTACGCAGTGGAAAGCATGGGGGTGTCAGTGGATTTCCTCTCATCTTAAACCTCCCATAGCTCTGTGCACCGGGCACCTTCTAACCTCTTCACCTGTTAGCAGTGCTGCTTGTTGTCAGATGGTTTTTACAGGACAATTTATAGTCCCCTCAGTGTTTCTCCACAAATGCCACTGACTCCAGGTGGTGCATGTCATAAGGACCACCCCAAGTCATCCCACCTAACTTTTGGTGCTTACCTAAAAATACCAAAATCAAAGAGTCTGGGCTCCTTCAGTAATGAGTGGAAAGAGGAGATGAATCAGTAGAGGCAACTCTGTCTGCCTGTGTTTAGAATCACCTTCTCAGACTGTTCCTTTTTCTGTGGACTCATGAGGAAGACTGAGCTCTTCAATTAGTTACTTCAGTGCATAAAGGTAAGTGAGGGAATTTAGGTTAGCCTCCTCTTTACTTTTCCCCACCTGATTCTTTCTGGGTGGCATCTTTCATGGTTTGTTTCCAAACTGGCTGTTCCAACTGCAACCTTGTAATAGGGCAGAACATGAACCCAAGTAGCGCTGGGGTGACTGGCCAGGTGAGCAAGGAGGGATAGACTGAGTGCTGGGGCATGAGGATCTCGTATCCTAGTGGGATGCCTGTCACAGCAGTGATGCCTGGATTTGAAAGGTCATGCCATCCTCATACTGCTGTGAGGACAGGCTAGCTCTGTGGGCAGGCCTTTTTTATCTTCACTGGCTTCTGGAAATTTAATATTTACAGTGAGACTTTATTAAGTAGTTGCTGTGTGAGCAGCAGATGGAGTGTACTTGAGTATCAAAGAATTTGGGGACTCCCAGCTAGCGTCCTTCTTTTCTGTCTTTGTGTAGGGTTTCCATGTTTCCTCAGTAGACAGATTGAGGGAAAACAACAAAACAACGTAACACCAATATAAGATAACACAGAATGTAAGATTCCTGTGCCATGGGGTTAGCAGTAGGATTTCTTTTCCCACCACTCTCATCTTGCCTGCTGGTACCTTGAGAAAGACCAGATACAGCACTGGAAGCAGCCTGTAGGGAACTGGTGAATGAAGTCTGTAAGGGAAGCTTGGTGCAGGGCTGTCATGAGATTTTACGTGGTTTCTGCATGGAATGGTGCCAGCTTTGCTTGTGATCTGCTAAGCCTGGTCTGGGCCAGGTGGCTCACTTAGTCCTACCCCCGTAGCAGAAGTGATGCTGCTAAATGAGGTTTGCAGCCTGATGTGGTGGGGTTGAATTTACAAGCTCAGAATGTATATGCTCAGATTGGAATCAGGTTAGAAAAAAAAGAGAGTTCTTATGTATGTGGCCTGTCAGAAAGCAGTGTGGTGTATCTAGGGAAACCTGCAGTGTGTTCCAGGAGATGAGTGTTGTGTTAAGATTTTGTCTTGTACTCTTAACCGTGATGCTTCTTGGCTTTGTGTGTATTCCAGAAAGGGCCAGGAGATTCTCTCGGAGACATGAAGTTCAGTCCTTATGAGGCAGTGAAGCTTTATGTGGCATCAGGGGATGGCACCCTGAGTCTGCAGGACCTTGAGGGCAGAGCGGTGCAGACGATCTCCCGTGCCCCAGACTGTGGCCATGAGCACCATAATGTTTGGTGAGAAGGGAGCACTGTGAGGTCGATTCTCCATTCCTTGGGGTTAATGCTACACTGCTTCTTGTGCTCTCTAACATCTTCATCTTTGCCAGTGTTGGGAGACTCTTGGTAGGAATTGGTCCTGTGAGGGAGCTTGGAGACAGGCCCATGGTCCTGACTCTAGTGCTGCAGGGTGGGTGATGGGCTCGGCAGCCACAGGGCACTTAGGCTTTGAGAGTAGCTGAGCATGCTGCCTGCATCTTCTGGTGTTGCTTTCTGGTGATGCCATCTCCTGCCTGGCAGATACTGACAACTTTTCACTTCATAAAGTGTGAGGTGAGAAGAGCAGGGTAGCTTCCTCCTCTTCATTATCATCAGTGTTCTGTTTTGTCTGTAGCAGCTCAGGTAGCAGAGGAAAGCCACAAAACGTTCCTGCACAATCTGAGTTTTGGGTTATTGAGTTCACCCTGCTGCCCATCTAGAGGCTTCAGGCTCACCGTGCTAATTTCTGTGACCTTGAATTCTAGAATAATTCATCTTTGCAAGTGAAGCTTTCCCAACAAGGTCCCAAAGGTCCCCAGCTATATTCTTGCTGCCCTTCCCCTCCCAGCAGAGCTGGGGTTAAGACGTATGTCCTTATCAGATAAGTCTCTATTCAGTTTTGTTTCCTGGAGCTTGAAGTTGAGACAGTTTGATGTGCAACTTTCCAGTCCAGAACTTCTGTCTTTTCTTTACTGCTGCTTCAGTGTTTTGCACAAAATGTCATTTTAAAGCTGGTTCTGTATATTTGTAATGTCACAAGAGTGTTCTGATCTTTCCCAAGGTGTGTCCATGTGCAGGCACAAAGTGGCTTTTCAGCCTCTATCATGTTCCACTGTCCCAATGTGCCACACTCCATCTAATGAGCACTTCACAAATGACGAGGAAGTTGTTCCATACTCAGTCACCAACAGAAAGCATTGCTGATAAACCGTCCCCCTTCCTGATACTCAGGCCCACACCATCAGGCAGGAGATTGCAGTTACAATCTGCTGCAGTCTCCCCCTGTCAGGGAGATGTGAACCAGAGCTCCGCTGCCTTCACTTGCCTGAGGGAGGCAGCACTGATGTTGTGTCTTTCCCTCTAGTTGCTGGTACTGCAGCGTTGATGTTTCTGCCAGCTGCCGTGCGGTGGTGACAGGGGATAATCTGGGAAACGTGGTGCTGCTCAGCACTTCTGGTGAAGAGGTTTGTACGGATCCATGCAGCATCTCCTCTATGGGAATCTTCCTGGCTCATGTGCTTTCCTACACTACAGGGACCCTGAAAAGAGAAACAAGTACCTTGCAGCTCAGGAGATGAGTCCACCCCTTATCTAGGTGGTGAGAAGTCCTCCACTTCTGCTGTTCATTAGACACTTGCACATTGTTGAGGGTAACGGTAACAATTTCCAAACAGGGGCTGTGTTGTGTGCTTTCCCTTCCTCAAGAGTATCTGCTACTGGCCAGAGTAATTTTGGGGTAACCTGAAGATGTAAGCACCCTCTGCCAACAACCTTCACACTTCCAGAAACTTAGTGCACTGATGAGAGTCATTTAGGAGCCAGTGCTTTGATGCTTCCATGACCTTGGAGCAGGGACACAACAGCAATTTAGGGAATGTTGGGCTAGAAATGGCACTGCTGCTGTTAGACATGAGAGGCAGAGGCAGAGTACAGGAACATACCTGAGCTTTTCTGCACTAAGATACCCGTTATTGTAGGGAGGATGGGCCAGCTTTAGCCTTTTGATTAGAAATAATCTTCCAGCTTCAGATATAAATTTATTCATGGCCAGTTTATATCCATTTGTTCTTAATTGAAATATTTCTCCTATCCTTATGTTTCTTCACTGATGTATTTCTAGAGGCCATTAGTAACTTCTCTCACCTTTTTTACTAAGATGAACAAAGCAAGCTTTTTTGGTCTTCCCCCACAAAAGAGCCCCTTCCTTATTATTGTATTGGCAGTGCATTTTCTGTACCTCTTCCAGTTTGTTTTAACCTTTCTGCAGGTGGAAGACTGGCACTGCATCATAAAGAACTCCAGATATGATCTGGCTTTCTTTAGTAGCATTAATACTTCCTTCCATGAACCAGGGATTGTGTTTTCCTTTCTCATAGCTGTAATAAATAGGTGGGTCAGAGTTCTTATAGAATTAAATAGTTTCCAAAGTCATTATTCTCCTTTCTTGTTTCCAGTGGATAAACTCTTGGTGTATTTGAGAAGTTTTGTTACTCTGTAAATGTGTGACCTCTTTACTCTGCACTAGTAGATTATTATTCTTTATTCCAGACCTTTGGTTATTTTTTCATGTGTGATTTTCTGTTTTTTCTGCTGCAGATTTGGAAGCTGAAATTGCACAGGAAGAAAGTGACTCATGTAGAGTTTAACTCCCGATGTGAGTGGTTGTTGGCCACAGCATCTGTGGATCAGACAGTCAAAATCTGGGACCTCAGAAATATCAAAAACAAAACGAATTTTCTTCATGTGCTTCCTCATGACAAACCTGTCAATGCAGGTGAGTTCAGGATTTAATTGCATGGATGTCTGCAGAGACTCAGCTCAGCTGTTATTGTTGTGGCAATGTTAGCTTTTGCTCAGGTTTAAGGTTGCACAGTAGCTAGTGTTAAAGCAAGGAAGGCAGTGGGAACGTATGGCCAGAGGCAGGGAGGTGGATAGGGCAGCTCCAGCACCGTCTTACGGTTGCCAGACAAACTGTGGCACTGTGCCTTGAGGGGGGAGTGTGGAAACATCAGCAGTGGCTGAGATTAGAAAACATTACTTCATTGGGGCAGTTCCTTTGACAAAAGCAGAGGATGGGACTCAAACCTTTTGTTCCTTGGGTGCAGTTTTACCAGTTCATGGAAGTTCACACTGCAGGTGTTTTGTCTCCAGCTTTTCCACTAACTTTCCATTTGAATGAACAAGTTCTTGAGTCTCCATCTCTGGAGATGTTCAAACCCACCTGGACGCTTTCCTGTGCAACCTGGTGTAGGCTTTGGCAGGGGGGTTGGACTGGATGATCTCCTAAGGTCCCTTCCAACCCCCACCATTCTGTGATTTTTTTATCTGCAATGTCTCTCTGTGGTTCTAAAATGAGAATAGTGATTCTTCCTGTGTAACCCAGTGCTATAGGTTTCAGCTTACTGTTTGTAAGAGCTTTGAGTTAGTTTGAGACAGATAAAAGTCTTGTCTATTGGGACACATGGCCATATTCACAGCCCTGTTAAAGAAACAATGGGTTTCCAGTCAGAGAAATGTGACTTTTATGTTTCTTACCAGTCACAGCACTGTCATCTTTTGTTTGCTTTATTGTCCCCTTCTCCTAGCTTACTTCAGCCCAACAGATGGTGCCAAGCTCCTGAGCACAGACCAGCGCAGTGAAATCAGGGTTTACTCATCTTCAGACTGGACCAAACCACAGCACCTGATCCCACATCCTCATCGGCAGTTTCAGCACCTCACACCTATTAAGGTGAGCTCAGGCAGGGCGGTCCGAGAGGGGTATCACGCTTGGTGCCAGCAGCCAGCTGTAAATCACAAACAGTCTGATTTCTGGTCAGGAGACTACACTGGTGGGTAGATGGTCACACTGCTGCAAGGCCCAGCAGAGCACTGTTCTGAGGATACCCGCGTTCCTCAGGCTGTGGGTGGGATGTACAAACTGTCTGGTGTGTGTCAGTATGAGCTCTGCCCCTTTCTCTCTCAACCCCCTGTTGCTCTGCTGTATGACCAGGCAACGTGGCATCCTCGCTATGACCTCATTGTAGCAGGTCGCTACCCAGACCCCAAGTTCCCAGGCTACACGGTGAACGAGCTACGAACTGTTGATGTATTCGATGGAAACACTGGGGAGATGGTTTGTCAACTTTATGATCCAAATGCTTCTGGCATCATCTCGGTGAGTTGAGCACTGCAGCGAAACGGGCCGTTGTGTGTTGAACCGCAGCCAAGAGATACGGGTTAGGGACTAGAACAATAGGAGTGTCCTCTTTACTTGTGACAGACTCATGCTTCTGGGGGGGCACGGCTGCTGACTTGAGCAGGGCTGGTCCATGGTCATCTGTGGGTTTTCTGTCATACCCTTTAGGGAATATTGGGTTTTCCAGATGGTTTGTTGCTGTTATGTAAGCCCTGGTGCTCTTATGACTCTGTTATATAAACAGTGATGCTCTTACAGACTCTGATTGTGTTTCCATTTTCAGCTCAATAAATTTAACCCTATGGGAGACACGCTGGCTTCTGGCATGGGTAAGTAAAGAGAACCTGGGGCACTAAGCACAGGTGGGCTTCAGTCCCAGAAAAGGGCAGCCTTGTTTCTCCAGACTAAAGCATGTTGTGAATGAAGGTTTCCCAAATCCTACTAGGTAGTCCTCTCTAATTTCCTACATCTGTAAAAGAGATTAAGATCACCTTTCCAGTCTTCCACCTTTGCAGTTAGAGAACAGGTTGTTCTCTAGTCATCTCCTGTGAAACGTTCTTGAGAGCACGGTGTCCGGGAGGAGCCTCCCCCCAGCAGGGACCAGCTGCCGCTTGCCAGCCACGTAACGGTGGCAGAAAGTGATGGAGGGGGGGGAGAAAAGCCCTTTCCTGTTCCTAGGCTGTGCCTTCCCCCCTTTGTTTAATTTATCTCATTTCCCAGGATGCAGAGACAAGATTACTCGGTTTTTCACAGGCTGTATGGGATTAAGGGAGCTGGCTATAGATTTAGGTCTTAGACCTGTGACAGACAAGATTAGAAATTACTTGATAATGTTTTATAATTAGATCAAGTTTTGATGGCTGTGTGGAGATAGCATCTGCATTAAATATCTTTCCATCCTCTGTGCTTTGGAAATCTCTTAGAACAGAATGTTGAATTTCTGGCATTTTAGTGACATAGCCTAAGGTATATCTGAAGTAGAGTTTCTGATGCACAGTGTTTCATTTTTTCCTCTCAGGCTTTAATATTCTGATCTGGAGCCGGGAGGAGATGGTTGCCAAGAAGCAAGAACATCTTTTGAAAGCCATGACAGAACAAGGGATTGGAAGCTGGAGTTTGTCCAGACGTGGAGGTCAAAGGCAGGCAAACCCTGGGACAAGCAAACTCAAAGCTAACTTACTGTCTTGGGAGCTGGAGGAGATGAGAACAAAAAGCAACAATTCTAAATCACAGGGAAGGAAGCAAAAAGGGAAGGATCTGGAGAAGTGATTTAGTGTTTTGATCCTCTCTGGATCCCAGGGTACAAATTCACTGTTGGCAATGGGCAGTATAAGCCGTGCAGGGCATTAGACTTCTACTTTGTCCTTTCTCCCTGGGTCTGATCTTGCTTTCCTGACTCCCTTTGCTTCCCCTTCTAGAAAAGCTGTGCCAGTACTTGGTTTCTCCTCCAAGTGGTTACCACGCTTTTTCTGAGGCACTCTGAAATGTTCTCAGATCCTGGTGAAATTTACTGCTTCCAGCCTGCCACATCTGCTTGTCATCATGACTTGTCAGAGGTTACCATCTCCTGTAGTCCACTGTGGAGCAGCTCGTGACAGGGTCCCCAGCCTGTTCTAGTCAAACTGAGCTGAGAAACCCCTTGCTGACAAGGTAGAATGGTCACTGGGGTGAAGCAATGGGTCACTTAGGTAGCCTAGGGAACACCAACCTCTCCCATGTGCGAGCTTCTTTAAAAATAGGTGTCTGTCAAGACCTCAGGCTTAGCCTGTTCTGTGCTTGCAGCTATTTAGACCATGAACTTGATGATACCAGAGCTCTTTATCTGCCTCAGGGGATGCAAGGGCAGCATGGAGCTGGGAACCCAGTGATTCTGTAGTTCCGATTTCCAGAGTTCTAGGCTCTTTCTTGCCACTGATTAGGTAATTTTTTTCACCCATGCCTATGTGCTTCAGAATGTTGGATAGAAGAGTTGCAAAGCAGAGATGAGGAATTTCTTTCAAACACCCCTGCTCAGAGCCAAATCTCAAGACTGCTGTTAAACTGAAAAGTTTTGCATTTTCTAGTTTGTTTACAAGGCTGCCTGGGGCCTTGCTGCTGTCCCCGAGGTTGAGGGATGGGACAGGCTCCAGGCCTGCTCAGATTCTCTATGTTCACTTTTATAGTTTCGCAGTGTTGATTATTAATAAAGTTTTGTACTAAACTGAAATTCTTTGATACAGTGAGTGGCTGCTTTGAGCATTCTGCTGAACTGCTTTTGCACAGGGGAAGAAATTCCTGACTTAGGAGGGCTAAAAGACCTAGAACAGTGGTGGAAATACCAGTGGTAGTACTCTGTGGACCCTTCCAAGTTGGACAGGTTGCATTCTAAGCTGTATCTACATATGGTTGCTGTAGTCAAAAATAGTTTTATCTCCATTCTCACTCTGCTCTAAGTGGGACTGTAAATGAGGGATTTACTTTGGGAGGGGGTATACTGCAGTAAGTTCTGCCTGTTTTCCAACACTGAGTGTACTAGTGCTAGTCCTGTGAACTCTTAGAGAAGAGGAGGAGCAGAGTTCAGTGCGAATTTGATTTTAATAATGAAAAGGAAATGTATTGGAACAATTACAGAAAGTCATTCACAGTCAGAAAGTCTAAATCATCATAGAAACCTTTCCTCTGTGTGTGCAAAACTTGCTGCCTTTAAAAATAACAGGTCTGGTCCTCTTAAATGCACTTCCTATTACCTCTTTCTTGTGCCTGTTCTCACAGGCAGCAGCTTTTTCTTTATGAGTGTCTTGCTGTGCCAAGAGACCTAGATTCTATCTTCAGAGGACAAAAAGGCGAGGAAGATGCTGAGAACAGCAAGCTGCTTCTGCTGATTTAGAATTCCCATGCTGGTAGATGCCGATTATGGTGTAGGATCCCCACGGTACTCTACAGGGGAAGAAAAGGAAACGTCTGTAACCTAAGAACTGGCTCCTGCCGCCAAGAGGGGAAGGGAACTGCACCAGAAAGGGAAGTAAAAGTGGGAAATGAATGTGCAGCATCACCACGTGAAGAGCCTGTGCTTCTGGTGCCTGCTGCAGTCCCTCATTTTCTGCCAACAGCTACAAGGCAGGTGGTGAGCACTTGGCGTGAAGTTCCCTGCAGCAGCGGCACTGCCTGCAGAGAGGCCAGCCTGGAGAAAGAATCACACTTTGGACAAGATGCCAAAGCACGGCCAGTAAAATCCACAGTCACCTGCAAATTCTCATCATTAACAGGGGTTTTTTGTTTGTTTGTCATCCACCCAGTAGAGAAGATAGAAGAAAAACTACAGAACTTGGCATTTAAAGTAGCCTGAGGTAAACGGCTCTGCTACATCTCTTTAATTACAGCATAAAAACATTTTGCTAGTGAAGCATATTCCCTGGGCTCGGAGCCGAAATCTGGACTGCCTGCAGTACTCGATATTCCCTGTACCAGGTACTTCAAGTTCAGAGGTGGGAAAGTAAAATTCAAAAGCTGAATCTTCAGACAGGGCCCAAGTTTCTGATCTACGGGGACTCTCTAGAGCCAACAAGAAATAGTGGGTGGGTTTGTTATGGTCACAGGAATTAATCTCTCTGATGCAGCTCTTAGAGGGTCTTTGGATCATACGTCATCTACTCTGAGCTGAATCATAAAAACTACGGCCAGGTTGTCAGTCTTGACCTGATTCCAGGCCAGTGCTCTCTTGAACCATGATGCGAGGAGGGGGAAAAAAAAAGACCAGTTGTCAGCAGCAACTACTTAGCAGCAACCTCAGGAAATGCTTTTCCCTGTCTGCCATCGTGCAGTGGTTCCCTCTGCGTGGACAGATGAGTCTTGGTGCAGTGCTGGTGAACTGGGCCCTCTGCTCCAAGCCCAGCCTTCCCACCATCATCAGCCCAGTGGCATGAGAGAAAAGCACTCAAAGCAGGTTGGCCCTGAAGAGGGATGCAGCTCCTGACTGCACTGGATGTGGCAGCTGCTGAAGGCCCAAGTTCCTCTGTGACAGTCATGGGGAGTGGTAGCATTTACAATCACTGAAAGGAGGAAAATTTTTGACCAGCTCCAACTGGCCATGTTGGGAATCCCAGACTAGGTACGCTGTATGAGGACTGGGGGCACCACACAGTGTACTGGCTTCAGAATTAAGGTGTCATTTCCATTAGAGCATCTCAGTCCTCTCTTGCTGGGACATCACCTTTAGAAAGCATCCAAAAATCAAGTCCAGCTTCATCCTGGGAAGCAGTGGCCAAAGCAGAAGAACGCTCAGTAACCGAAGGTGCCCAATCATCCTTAAGGGCAACGCTGCTCCCTCCTACCACCTGGGGAGGAGTTGAGGCAACTGTCAGGCCTGCTCTTCTCCCTCGTTGGAAACATGCCGGTAGCCGGGGGGCTGAGACTGTATGCGGAAGAGAACAGTCAAGAGGAGGATTGTAAGGAGAAGGAGAATGGATCCACACACAGCCAGACCCACAAACAGTTCTGCAAGGGAGAAAACAAGTGGTCAGCATGGTATCATCCAAGCTTTCCCCTTCCACCGCACTCTGGTCCAGCCTGGGCTCACCTGTGTCGTGCATGCTGCTTGCTACCTGGCATTCTCGCTCCCAGTCTTGGGGAACAACAGGATCTGTGAGTTCCAAGAATCTTTGCAGTGGGCATTTCTGCTGACAGCCAGGGATTGTCAGTGGGAAAGGTTCCTTCCCACTCTCATTCCGGAAAAACATCTCCACAGAGAAGTTACTGAAAACAAAACACAGATGTTTGAGTTTTTATTTTTTCCTCCAGCTAAAGTCATCCCTTCCCAAAAAGTCAGTGTGCACACACTTTGCTCTTTTCTGGTGGTAGTTTTCCTCCTAAGAGTTTGCCACTAGGAGCAAGATGGCATCCCCCTAGGGTAGAGCCTAGCCTAGGTGTCTGACCCTCCAGGTGAAATCACAGCAGATGTCTTTACTGAAGCCCTCACCCATCATCCTCTTGGTACAGCTCAAATAAATGACATGAGGCGTATGGTGCTTGAATCTTGTTGTAGACATCTAGAGCCATCTGCAGTGCCACAAGTGTGGTGTCATGCTGAGAAAGAGGGAAAAAAAACCAAATCAGTCACCCTTATGGATGTGGCAGGGCAGCTCAGACCATAGCAGTAACAGACAGGACAGTGCTGAGGGGACGTCACCTTTGTCACTTCCATCTGGAAGAAAGGAGAGGAATTGTACTGCTAGAATGGTCATCTGTGACAGTGCCAGAGAAGGGGAAGAAGCCATATATATATATCCTGCTTGTTCTTGAATAATTCATCCCTAGGGAGCAATCTGGGAGAGATGCTTGACTTTCCAGGCAGTAGGCTGCTGGAAAGGGGTGTGGCTCTCTATCTACACTGCTGAAACACCACGTCTGAGTAGCGTCAACTCATCTACCAAATAAGTCCAGCAGTGGCTCCCTGAAGTCTGCCAGTGTCATGCACAAGCCTCAGCTCACAGGAACAAAGCGCAGGTTGGCAATTTTCCTCAGGGGCCCCAGAGGAATGATGCCAGATCCTGCACATCCCACCCAGCCAGAGGCAAAGATGCATGTCCTGATCACTGCGTGGGCTGTAGGGAAGCCAGAAAGGGTTAAAGCTATCACCAAGCCCAAGTCCCCTCTCTGAGGGGGAGAAGATGGATACAAGCTAGCCCCCAAGCTCCGACTTACCGCTGAATAAGCAAGTAGTTTCAGGTTTTGGTGGGCAGATAGATTTGCTGCTTTGGTTAGATTCTTCCTTATATGATCCAGCAGGACCCCTGGAGAAAGAGAACAGCTGGTAAGAGGCAAAAACTAGACAGAGCAGCACGAAGCTCCCTCCCCGGCGCACTCACCGCCTTGCAGACGAGCTTTTTCTACCCGATTGTGGATCCCAAACAGAAATTCAAAACCAAAGTCTTTTAGTTGCTTCAATTGAGTCATGACAGCTGGTGTCACCCAGACAGGCAAATCCATTTTGTGTACTTGCTAGAAAGAGAAACAGAACACTCGTCTGCAGGTAGCACAGATCGCAGATTAATCAGAGAACGGGAGTCGGGGTGTCTGGAGTCCTGCCTGTACTGCTACCAATTTCCTCTATCATTTTAAATATGCCCCTTTCTATTTATGATTCTGTTCTTGCGCTGCTGTGCTGCACACAAAGAATATATCTGGGTTTTAATGTTGTTTCAGAAACTAAATATGAGAAGCATAAAGATTAAAATCTAGGAACTACGTTTCTGTGAAAGCACAACTGGAGTGCAGGGTGATGTGGGAACACGGATACAATAATCTTGGGGCGTTTACTTTACGTGTGGCTGATTCTGCCCTGCAGATGGCATGCAGTCAAAAAAGTTAAAAAAAAAATAGATAGATAGATAAGCAAGAGAGCACAAACTCGAGGTTTCTGGTGTACGTGCAGCAGAATTTCCCTGGAGGGTCTGAGGGCCACTGAAGGATATTGGGGAAAGTCAGCAAGCGCTCTGCAGATGTAATACTGAGATGCACCACTGACAAGGCCCAGAACTCAAATCCAGAAAACACAGAACCAAGAGAAAAATTGGCTTTGCAGCCAAGCATTACAAGAAAGGATTAGTTACACTGTCAGACAAACAGCAGTTGTGGTTCCCTGGCATTCCTCAGAGCAATTTTCTATGCCACATCCCATTAAACTGCCAGAAGATGAGGCTGAATATCCTGAAGGGCCCATTCTGTCTCAGCAGTTCGGAGAAATTCCTATCAGCAACTTAAGAATTTAGTTAGTTTTTCATTCATTTACAAAGATGATAGCTGGTAAATTCAGCTATTTCTTGGACTTAGTTTATTTTCTCCATCCAGATGGCAGAATGAATCTACTGGCTCAGGTGAGAAAAGCAATCCTTCTCTTCAGGGCATTGTTTGTGAGAAAAAAGGAGGAAGCCCAAAGCAGCTGCAGAGACTGATCAGTGCGAGGCTGTAGTTTTGAGATTAAAACTCCCTTTCCTCAAAACATTCTGGTTTCATTTTGGCACAGTGAGCTGTTCTCCAAGTTCTTGGGGATTACAGTGGTTGTCAGCTGGCTGCCTGGGCCCAATTTGCAAGCTCATTAAGTGAGTCTTGAAAATGAAGATTGGAAATTCTTGATCTCTCTGACCAAAGGATTTTTTGTTACCGACAGAAGTTGCTTCACTGGGATTGTTACAAGACAGGAGATGGGGTTTGTGATACAAAGGGCAAATTTACATAGTGCAGTGCAGCTCTGGGCTGGAATATTCTCACAGCAACTCAAGCTGCTACTTCACCCAGCAAAGTGCAATGCCATGCAGCTCGTCTGACGTAAAAGATCTCTATAATTTACTTCATCATGCTCTATAGTCAAATAAACCTGTGTGCCACAACTGTAAGTCTCCTGGATATGTGACCTTGACTTCAGCATTATCACAGCACAGCTAACTTGATTTTGTTTAAGCCTTCATGAGATGTTCTTTCAACAAAACTCCACGTGCTAGTGTTTGGTGGCCCACTCCAGACAGTAAAGGGGTAACATCTGGCTCTAGAGTCTTTCTTTGGCAAAGTGCCTTATAATAGCTCAAAAACCAGATGTGGGTGAACCCCACTTAACCTAGAAGGGCATTATTTTCTTTTACAGATGGCACTAAGAGAAGCACAGAAAGAAAAGTGAGTGATCTAAAGCAACAGAAAGGTAGAACCAGGAATAATCCTAATTTAAGCTCCCAACTTAAATCATAAAGTTAATGCTCCTTCAGTTTCCAGACATCTCATTTCTACTTTACTTAACTCAGACTTGTCCACAGAGATCTAAAGATTTCAGATTGCAGACATTTTCTAGTGACTTTCAGAAGAGAGATTTACTCTGCAGGTGGGACTTTTTCTGGCTCTTGACACGATACGTACCTAAGCTCCAAAGTGGGAGGTTATAGGGTGCAAAAGTAGGACATTTTTGGCCCGTGCTGCTAGTGAGTAGGAACTGTTATTATTCTGAAATTAGAACATTACTTCTGGCTGTGGGGTGGGAATGGTGACAAGTTGTTTTATGGGATTTTGCAAAGAAATTTTCTACCAAATTCAGCGAGTCCTAAAGACCAAATTCCCACTGATGACCAAACTTACTTCACAGAACAGTGTGTCATACACACTCCAAACATACTCGAGAGAGACATCCCGGATCCCAGTCTCATTTGCCACCATCTGCAGGAATTGCTGTAGGTATGAGAAAAGAGAAAGGTCTTCAATTTTCTAATCTCACCTGTGTATGACATGCACAGGTATTCCTACCCTTTTCTCAGAGCTCTGATTATGTAGAGGAGGTGATAATACTTTAACTAAGACCACCTTATCTCATGCAAACAATCACTTACCCAATTCTCTTTGGTTTTATTTACGTATTCTGCTGAGTGCCGCGTTTCATTCTGCAGCTGTTCATACCGTGGACAGCGGGTCAAAGGAAACTTCAGTAGCTGGGCAGAGACAACAAGAGCAGCTAGGTCACCCAGAACACTGAAGTACAGAATTTGTGGTCAACACACACAACTGTAACGAAACCCTGACTACCAGGATGCGTCTATAAACAACCCCAGGTGCTGCCTGCCAACATACTCCAGTTCATCTGTGGTCTGCTGAGGTGTTGCAGCCAACACGATGAGTGAACACAGCCCCTGAATTCTCATCTTGTTCTGAGAACAGAAGAACCTTTGCAAGGTAGGTCCCAGGAGAAGTTCAAGCCAATCTGAATCAAGACTAAAGCAAAGGCTTTTGGAGAAGTCAGCGTTACACACTACTGGAGTGGTCAGTACGTATCCTTGAGACTAACTTACCCTTTCCTCGGACTCGGGCACTGTGTGCACAGGGATAGGCTGCCAGGAAATGTTAGGGTTGAACATCTCTTGTCCCTCTGGGGGATACAGGCCTGCCAGATTGGCCTCCGCACTCATCAGCGTCCGATCGTAGTCTGTGCTGCGGGTGAAGATCTGCCAGGAGAGGGGACAGTGCACCATTAGTAACGCTAATGGAAGCGGTGATGCCCTGACGCAGGGCGATGGACTCGCTGAGGAACATTGCCAAGTGCCCTGCAGCTGCTCATGGACAATTGAGTAACAGGAGTTGAGGTGACCGAGCCTGTTGATCTCAGGCTGGACAAAACTGTAAGGACACAAAACCAAGTTGGTGTGTAATACTGGAGCGGTCTGTTCTGGAGCAGTGGGACAGCCAGATGCGTTGTGCGGAGATCACAGACAGAAAGGAGTCTGAAAATGAAGAAGAGTCAGAGAAGAGCAAGACAGAGATGCAAATAACGACGGGCACAGATAGGAAATGCACTACATTTACAGAGCAGGAGTGGGGAAGACTCCTGCGTCCAGTTCTCAGTGCCAGGAATGACCTGCTGTGCTCATGAAAAAAACCCCAGCTTTTCCAAGCCTCTCTTTTTCCATCTGAGAAACGAAGACAAGAATGATCTGACTAAAAGGAGAGGAAGAAAAGGGGGAGGTGGGATTTTATTTTATCATCGTGGACTCTTGGGATTAATGGGACAAAACTTATCACTCTGGAGCTGAGAGAGTGAGAGAGAGAGAGAGAGAGCTCCGAGCCAGAAAAAAGAGAAACAAGAAAAATACAGAAAAGTTCAGAAGGTCAAAATGGCAAAACTTTGGTATTCTGGTATCTGTGTACTGGAAACACCTGGAGGGAGACTGGAGAGAAAGCAGTGATAAAACAAGAGGAACACATAGAAAACCATGGAAGAATGTCCCAGAAAACAGCATATTGAATCTGAAACAACAAGAATAAAAAGCCAGAAGAATGAAATACAATGTCAAGATTGGGATTTTTTAAAAATACTGAATTATGAGAGAGAAACATAAGCAAAAACATGCTTACTCTGTATAGCCTGTCTCACGTGAGGTGTATCTCAAAAGTTAAGTCACGAGGGAAAAAAATAGGTTTTCTTTTCTCTGACAGTTTCTGTTCACTTTTACCTGTCAACTGTGGCTTGAGAACAACTGACCCTGTACTCATTGGACAGGATCGCTTTCATCCTCGATAAGCTCTGAAGCAATAGAAAGGAAATATTTTCAAAGACGAGGATCTAATCCTCGAAGTGTTAAAAACCACTTAAGCCGTGAGCGTACATGCTTCCTTCAGCACCTTTCGCCGGGGCTCCAGCTTGTCGCTGAGTCAGGTGACAGACGCTCATGTGGTGTCACCCAGAGGCAGCGCTTCTGACAAGAGGGAGTTGCTCAACTCGAGCAGGGCTTGGGGCTTGGTTAGCAGAACAGCTTTTGTTTGCATATGCCTGGGTTTGTTTTTCCTTCTCAAGCAAGAGAAGGAAAACAGTTTCAGCTGGCAAAAGCTTTATAAGAGCAAAGTATGTTTGGAAAGGAACTACTGAGGAGGGTTAAAGGATCTGTGTTTGAGCTGACGCTGGAAGTTTTGTTGATGAAGCAAATATTAAAGCAGGGATGTAATCTGAACTATAGCAAGCTGGGTATTTATTTGGGAGCCCAAAAAGGGGGGGAAAGAACAACAGAAAATTGTATGGGGATTCTCAGTTTGCCCCATCTTGATCAATCACCCAAAGTGAGCTCAGATAAAATAACTGACCCAACGCAGAGCCAGTGGTGGCACAAATGGGTCTTGACTGCCATCTGAACTAGGTGACAGCATGCCTCTCATCATGACACTTGCTCATGTTCCAGCTGACTCACACCTCTTTGATAACATGGATTTTTTTGGGGGGGGATTTTCTGTTTGCTCAATTTTTTGGATCTTTCAGATTTTCCCCTGTGCTTAGCACATGGTTCCACTAAAGCTCTGTAATTTTTATAAACGAAACCAACGAGTTTCTCAAGACCTATTATAAAGTGTGGCAACATCCTGGAGAGAAAGAAGAAAATTAATAGCTTTGGGAGACTGAAGCCGCCGATACTTTACAGGTGGAGACAAATGAGAGGGTCACTCCTGGCTTGTCACTACTGCTTGTATGTGCAGAGTCCCATGAGATGGCAGCTGGGGTGACCAAAACCAAAATAAATCCGGAGTAAGGAACCAGCTCCAGCTACAACACAGCGTCCCCGTGCTGCTCCCTCCGCTTCAGGGCGGGAGACGGGGACAGTCCCCCCGCCCCAGGGACAGAGCCGGCCCCGGCCTCTCTCCTCCAGCTCGGCAGCCCGCACTGGAAACGGGCGAGGAAACAGCCACCCTTGGCGAGGAGAC